CGGGGCGCGGCTGTGACCCCCTCAGCCGGCGTAAAATCGCATTTAGGCCGCGATTAGCCAGGACGAGATTAGTTTTCCCATCCTAAAACGAGCTTGGATTTACAGACGAGTTTAGGTCGCCGGGCGTTAGCGTGCTACGCGTTTTGTGCTCTTCAGTAGCTGTCAAAAGCCGGGTGTTTGAACGCCAGCGAGCACCGTTCTTGACTGTCTTCCTCAAGAGTACAGTGACAATTAATAAGTAACAGCCTCATTACTTAAATAGGGTAATCTTCACAAAATATCCCAGCATGGGTAACTCCTGTCAGCAACAGAAGCATCAGCCTCCTTCAAGCTGTTCGATAAACCCTGTGTAAATGTATATACACACAAGAACACCAGGGTGGGTTTATTGTGGTTGAAGTTTTGGAAGTGTACAAGTTTTTGACAACAGGGTTGGGTTTTTTTTGTGTGTGTTTTTTAATATAAAAAAGCTAGTAGTTAAACATCCACAGGCTGTAAGACCTGAAAAGACACTCACTGCTAAGTATCAAACACATCCCTCAAAACTCTTTAATATTTCCAAGTTCTCCTTCTAACGTGAGATTCAACACATAGAAAGCATTAGTAAATGGCATTGGTATCTGCTGACTATTTACTAGTAAACAAGTTTCCAGCTGTTTCAATATCAAAATTGTACCATAATTGATTTTAAAAAGGAGAATGTAAAGCAATTGTGTTCAGAACATTTTGTGACAAAACTTTGCTTTAACTCAACAGTTAATATTTAGGGATTGTGTAGCTGGTTTATGGTTTTAGCTGTCTTAATATTTCTTTTTCAGGCTGAAGCCATTCAACAGACTGCAAGTAATCTTACAACATTTGGTAAGAACAGCATCTGGTTTGACTGAGTTGGAAGCCTTGAGGACTTTTAACTCCCCTGAGACAGCACATGCAACTTGTAATGTTGGTTCACAGTGGTTCTGAAGGGCTTCATTTATTGCTCGCCCATAACATCGCCCACGTCTTCAAGCACTTGGTTACAAGGTTCTATTATGCTGTAAATTAAAGCTTAATTATTTTGGCCTTACCTGTTTTTTCCAGTTGGTTTCTAGGTTAGCTTCCATACATTCCTTATCTATCATTCAACCGTGAGTTTGAAATTAATTGTGAAAATAACTTAGTGATTTGTTCTCTATTAAAAGTTACAGACAAAGCATTGTGTACGTTTGGGTTTGCAGTGTCAAACTGCCAGTGGGGACACATGGAACTGTCCTTGTCATAATTGTGACAGGTATTTTAAGAATGTTAGCCTTAAAGAACTGAAGTTTTGTTGTGTGTTTGTTTGTTTGTTTTAAATGAACTCAGATGTCATTGTCAAAGAGTGGGCGGCTTAAAAACTTGTCTGAGGTTTATTACCCTGAAGGTCTCAAAGTGGTTTCAAAAGAACTGTGTAGGAGATGCCAATAAATCTTGAAGTACAGTAGGAAAGCCTTCACATACAATTCAAAAATGCATGTTTTATGATCTTAAATAGTGAGTTTGGAGAATATACTTCCATAAATATTCTTGTAAGTGTTACTCAAGGCATCTAACTGATGGCATTTGCTTTGTTTTTCCATGTACAGAAGATGTCTAAGCATACAGATTCGACAGCTGAAGTGTTGTTGGAAAAGAGAGGAGGTGCAGGAGTAATAACTTTGAATAGACCCAAGGCTCTTAATGCACTAAATCTTTCTATGGTCCAACAAATTTATCCACAAATTAAGGTTAGTAGCTCCATTTCTACCCATCCACTATATATATATGTTATCAGAAACTGGTTTTAAAATTCAGTCTGACACTTCTTCATGCACTGATTTAAAGAGTGAAAGTCTGTGTGAGTGCATTGGCCAAGGAGTGCAGATTTACAGGATGAGAAAGAACAGACCGTTTCAAGCAAGTTAGAGAAGAAGACCTGTCAAAGAAACAAGCTGTGAGACAAAGTTAAATTTAGCATCTGGCTGGCTGAAGAGACACATATATTAAAACCAGGACTGAGTTCAAAGCAAGCAGTGCTCAGTGTTTGTATGTTCCCTTTGGCAGCAGACAGCTGATCAATTGGCTTGCACGAGTTCCAAGCCATAGAGTGGTGTTGCCTCTTGATTAGCTGCATGTTTTGAGAGGAGGCTGTGTGGCTGATATAAAAGCTACAAGCCATTAGGAAGCAAGGTGCTGTCAGTGTCATTTCTTAAAGAAAGACTTTATGGATTTATAGGCACTGTTGCTAGACAGTATACAGAGAAAGTATTTTTTGCAGAGTCTTTAATCTTACGTGGAAACATTTACTTCTTTTTAGATTTGGGAACAAGATCCTGAAACTTTTCTAATAATTATAAAGGGAACTGGAGGAAAAGCTTTTTGTGCTGGGGGTGACATCAGAGGTAAGAGGACCCACTTCTCACATAAGGACTATAGTGTCTTAAACATTTTACATATCTTTGCCTGTTACTACTTCATGTTGATTTCCTTTATTTACTTGTGACTGAGGTAAACAGAGGCTTGCTACAAAACAGTTAGAGAGATTATTTGTGCTGACTTCTTACAACAACTTGATGTGCAGATCTTATTTGTCAGGAGGCAGCTGTCAGAATGTTGTACAAAAAGAGTGAAAATTGGGGTTTTATCAGTAACTGGTTATGGCAGACAGTCATTCCTGGGAATAGGGTGTTCTTGTCTCTCTCTTTCTTCCCAGATTTTCGTTACTGACAGCTTCTTTATAAGAAAAGTGAAGGGTCCTAGCAGGTAGCTCTGTTACTATAGGGTAATTTGTGTCTGAAGTTTTAGATGCCTAGGTACAGCAGTGACAGTGGTGATCAATGTGTCTGTGGTTATTTTACAACCATGAATTATAGGAAATCTCCAGTCTGTGAAAATTAGCAGTTTTTCTAAATTTTAGATAAGCATCCAGTAAAGGTTATTGTTAAATTATGTCCTCCTTTAATTGGCTTCTCATTTTTAATATTCAGAGTCTTCAGTATAATCAATTATAAGTGACTGTTCTATATATTCATAGGAAATATCACAAACAGGACTACCAGACATTAGGAGGGGTTCCATAGCCTAGAAAATGGACTACACTCTCACAAGTATGTCACAGTCTGAAGCATAATGAAATGGACACAAATCTGAAACTTTGCATTCATATTTAGGTTGGAGCAAATTTTCTCAAATAAAGCAAAGCAAAATTAAGTTGCTGTTTGATTGCTGTAGGAAAAAAGATGATATTGTGTCCATTAGTTTTTCTACTTGTGTTTTCTATTAAACTTACAGTTATCTTTATTTTTATTTCTTTTAAGCCATCACAGATGCAGGAAAAGTTGGAAATAGTCTAGCACAAGATTTCTTCAGAGAAGAATACACCCTGAACAATGCCATTGGTATGTTGAATAGCAAATTCTGAAGCAGTACAGTTTTCTTAATAATGGCTTTGAATGTAAACTCACTTTCTCTTTGCTATAAAAGACACTGATAACATAATAGAAGTAATTATTTTTTACCAAGTTCAGGACTCATATTGTAACATCTCTCATTTTTATACCTCACATGCAGAATCTGTTTCTTTTGTTTAAGCTATTATGAGAGCTATCTTATCCCATCCCATTGTTCTGGGTGGGTAAATTTCTGCTATGGATGAGTTAAGTCTCAGCTGCAGACAGTGCAGTTCTGCACTAAGTACCATTGATCTGCCTCAGAGAAGAGCTGAGCTAAAAATAGATGCACAGAAAATAATTAATATTCAATCCGAAAGCAGATCTAACTATGTTAAAGCTTTCCATTTAAATAAACTGCATAAATGTATGCTCAAACTAGGAGTTAACTGCCTCAGTTTATTGCAAAGAATCTAGGAGTATGTGGTCTTAACTAACAGCAAAGACACTGTGTAAAATTCACTGGGGTAAAGGATACTAAGAAAGAATACTACTTTTTTAGGGTAAAAGTCTAGGAGTTAACTGCCTCAGTTTATTGCAAAGAATCTAGGGAGTATGTGGTCTTAACATAACTAACAGCAAAGACACTGTGTAAAATTCACTGGGGTAAAGGATACTAAGAAAGAATACTACTTCCTTAGGGTAAAAGTAATGAATTGAATGTTTTGTTGGAAAGAAACTTTTCCCAACGTACTTTAATTGAGTAGTTTGAGATTTTAAACATTGGATCCAGTGTTGGTCACTGCAGGATGAGAGGTTAACACGTTGCTTACCAGTGTAGGTTGACAGAAGAGCATAGAATTCCTAGAGTAACTTCTGAAAAGTCATTTTTACTTTGTTTGCCAGTGTTTCCTGTTGTAGCTGGTTTGTCATGTACCTTTCTTGGCTTCAATAACCTAATAAAAATAACCTAAGGTTTCATGTGTTTGGGAAAAACTAGTATTACCATGGCAGCTGGACTAGATGATTGTTGTAGGTCCCTTCCAACTTGCTATTGTAGTTTATCCAAATATTGCACGTGTACATACTTTAAAAGTTTGTTTTTTTAATTATTAGTGTATTCTACATCTATAATGCATGTAATTACAAATTCTAGATTTTTAATAACTTTGGTATGATTGTATCCCTTTAAGATTTCTGCCAAAAAGATTTATTTATATCTTATATATTACAACTTAAAAATGCACAGGGGAGCTGCTAGAAATTTAGTTCTGAGACTAGCATGTAGAGACCTTGCATTAGATATGTTCTTGTAAGAACAAAGAAAATAAAATAGAACTGCATTTTAAACCAACTACTAATTTGAAGGTTTGAACTGCCTTTCAAATAAGTAATTTTTTAAACAAGGCTCTATAGCTGCAGAAAAGCTAACAACATGGTTGCAACAGGAATCTGACTCAAAAATAAGCCTGACCTGGAAACACTAAAGATGAGGCAGCAGTTTCATTCACAACAAACTGTTGAATTTTTCCATGAATGGTAATTGGAAGCATCAGGTCTTTATTTTTATGCCTCCTAAAGGCTCCAACAGATAAAGTTGGTGGATAAAACTGTGGTACTTTAGGACATCATCATCTCAACCTGTCTGTGCCACATTCAAGGTTGGCTAAACAATATATTTGCAATGCAGTAGTTTGTAGTCACATTTTGGCTGAAGCCTACCAATGTGTCTGGCTCTGTAGTGAAGTGCTGGTGCACAGTGCTGTTGTTAATCCAGGCTGTGACACAGGGGGAGAGGGAAACTGTGGTGTCCCAATGTCCTACAAAGCTATTTACAATAGCTGCATATGGCTAAATTGTCAGGTGCTCACATAGAAAGTATTCTGATGTCTGATGGTTGTGTACTCTTTTACAACACTCAGAATGCACCAGGTCAGTAACTGATGTTTCTTTTCATTGCTTAAGAATTACATGCAGCACTTTCATTATAAGTTGATATTTTACTGTTTAATTTACCATTTATTTTCTGTTTGCTCCTGCTGA